TTCTGTATGTGGTGTTCTGAGCTGCCAACTAAAGGGATGAGTACAGATGCCAGATATTTGGAAACATTGTAAGTGACAGAGTTAATCATGCTAACAATAGGTCTTAAAGGTACACCTTGTTTGTGGATTTTAGGTAAACCTCTGGGTGAAACAGAACAAGCAGGGTGTTCTGCGACCCTAGAGGGTGAAGCAGAACAACTCAGAATCAAAGTTTCAGCCTGCCTCAGCAATGCCAAACCACCACCTTCCAACATCAGTAGAGAGGAGAGGGATGCACTCACCACTCTTAGCAAGGACAAAAACATCATCATTCTTCCAGCAGACAAAGGAAGGTGCACAGTGATTTTGAACCAGAAAGACTATCATAAGAAAGTTATGACACTCCTTAGTGACTTAAACACTTATGAACCTCTGAAAAGAGATCCAGGAAGTGGTTACAAGAAGAAGTTGATAGATTGCCTGAAAAATTTGGAGCAGGACAAGGCTATTGACCGTATTCTGTACCACAGACTGTACCCAGGGGAGGCCACACCTAGTCTGTATGGTTTACCTAAAATCCACAAACAAGGTGTACCTTTAAGACCTATTGTTAGCATGATTAACTCTGTAAGAGTTTTTCATTTGTTATTTTAAACTGCCTGTCTGGAACTATCAGTCTGTATTTACATAAGCTGTTTTTACTTAGAACTGTTTGTTAAAAACCAAACATGTCAAAGTTTAAACACATCAGCAAGTATTCCAGATATCTTGCACTGTCATTTTCTTTCCTCACCCTTAAACTGATACAGATGATTTCAACTGATACAGATGATTTCAACTGATACAGATGGTGTCAGAAACTCATTACAATAAGCATTTAATCAACTGAACCTGTACAAGATGTTTTGTTCTGATCAAAGAATGTTTCCAAGCCAAACACTTATGTGTCACTCTTACCAAATAAAAGCCAGTTTCTAACAGCAAGGCTTTGGAGTTCACCTCTGGTTCCAGACCAGAGGTGGATTTCTCTCCCTGCAAGGAGCGTTGGCCAAAAACCTTACTCTGTCCTGTGTGGTGTTCTCTCTTTTCTGTTGGGTACGAGAGAAAATACCTAACATTTCTTGGTGCCGTGACCC